CCGTTCTTCCCCAGGATAGCATCTGACCCCTGCCAGCTTTTGCAGGGGTTAGAGTTAGTTTTGCACCTCCCGGGCATACATATGCAAATTGGAAAGTCAACTCAGAAGCATCTGACAAGTAGTTGGTTTCTAACATTAGACACCAAAATGCTTTTTCACAAGTTATTCTCTCTTGAGGTCGGTTTCCATTCACTGGTAATCTGTGATCACGCATGCTTTCCTCCTGTGAGGCTGTTACCGCACTTTGCAACTTAAATCCTTTTTCTTTCTTAAAGACTTAGAGAAAAATTGATGAGAGGAAAGTGCTCGAAACAGCCCTGAACTCACCTCAGAGTCGGTAACTCAGAAGAGACACCAGCCAGCACCAGTCCCTTACCTGTCATTTCAGTCTAAGCACTCGGCCTTTGATAGGGTCCCCAGTAAGGCAGCAGGCTCTGCAGGACAGCTAATCCGTGGCTACGTCCAACCCGCGGATACCGGTCACACCGCCAAGCTGGTGATGACAGAAACCTCAGAAACTGTATCTGAGTGCAGTTGGGTAGAATCAGCCACCCAGAATGTCCCCAAACCTCCTACCTTGAAGGTTCTAGAAGATGACAGAAAGGATAGCCCAGTTCTTCATATCTGCAAGTCAAAAGCAGCAGCAGAAGAAGGAGGAGGAGGAAGAAGAGGAGGAAGAGGAGGAGCATCAACTTTAGGTGATGCTTCACACGCCCTCCAGCTGTGTCACTTGCACGTCCCTGGCAGAATGATTCACTCCTCGACCTGTGTTGTGTTCTGCATTGAATCATATTAGCTTAGCTCACAAGTGTGTGCAGGGCGACTATGCAGAAAATGGCTCAAAAACTACCACTCTGCTTCTGCCTACTAATGGGGAACTAGCGGATTGGGTCTCTGGAATGTCTCCTTCCTTACCTGCATGGTAGAGGCATGAAAAGGGGTTTGGCGGTGTCTGTGCCTTGACTCACGGAGATGCATAATCCTTTGCTGTCTTCTCTTTCTCTGTCTTCGTTTGCCTTCCTTATACTCTCTGCCCTTTGATTCTAAAAGCAAATCACGGGTGGAGAGGTC